AGCGGTCTGGGGTTCCCCCCACGCCTGTCCACTAAAGGCCAGCGGCTGGCAGCCCTCTCCACCCTCCCCGTGGGCCCCAAGAGGCCTCTTTCCCTCGCCGGCCTTCATCAAGCCTCCCTCTGTCCCCAGGTCAGTGCTGATGCTGAGTCTTCCACCTGGAGGAGCCCCATTCTTCTGCAGCTCCAAACTGTGTGCTCCTGGAGGGCTCGGCCGACAGGAAGTCCTCCGAGAGCCCTGGCACCCACCACTCCCGTCACCACCTGTGACTCCACTAGACTCTAAAATCGATTTCATATTGGTCGATTTGACTCTGAAATTGAGTTTGTCCTTCTCTCTAAGGCCCAAGACCCAGCGCAGGGCCTGGTACTGAGCAGGCACCAGTGACTTCAATAAAAATGATAGTGGATTGACAGTATCACAAGACCTGCTGTCATCCTGGCATCAGGCCCAGCCCCAGGCCCTCCCAGGGGTCCTGTTACCAGGGAGCTGGGCCCTGGACTCCTCCAGGGTAATGTGGCTGTCCCTGCCTTGGTGCAGACCCTGACGACGCGCCCTGGGGGAGAAGGCGGAGGGCAGCAGCACAGTATTTTCTGTGCCTGGGCTGTCTGGGAAGCCTGGGTTCCAGCTTGGGACTCATGGTCTATGTGACCTTGGGCAAGTCACTAACCCTCTCCGGGCCTCAGTATCCCCTTTTGGAGTCTGAAGCCCAGAGAAGCTGCCCTCTCAGGGGATGGTGGCTCCTTCTCTCTGGGAGCCCTGCCGTCTGGCCCACAGCAGCCTGAGTATCCTCAGCCAGGACCTTCTGCAAGGCCAGGGATCAAGGCCGAGTGGAGCCTTCAAGATGCTAAAACCAGCCGCCACCTGTCACTGCCACCTGACAGCTGGGAGCAGTAGACACAGACAGCAGGCAGCTTGGGCATCTGGCCCAGCATTTGAGGAGGGCGTCCAGCCTTGGCCCCCCAGGCCTCAGCTGCCATCCACAGAATGGGCAGAAGGTAGCACTGGTCAGAGAGGTGCCCCGGCCCCTGGCCACAGGAGCCAGGAGCAACCTGGAGTGGCGGGGCAGGGCTGCATCATCCCTGCCCAGCTGTGTGGCCAGGGTGAGGCCCTCCGAGGCCACTGTCCCAGCAGCAGGGACCTAAGGACTCTGGGGAAAGTTGAGGCCTCAGGGTGCTGGGGACAGCAAGCCATTCCCCAGCTTTTCTCTGCTGCTGGTGGGGGCAACACCCTCGCCCCAAGATCTGGACAGCTTCAGAAATGGCTCAGCTGCCCAGCTGCTGGGCCCGCCTGGCTAAGCCCTCGCCCTGGATGGCTCACAGTGTGGGAGACAGAGAGCAGCAACAAAGGACGAGGAGCAAAGCTTGGGAGACAAACACACGCTGGTCCAGCAAGAAAATCAGCAGCATGGGGCGCACTATCCCTGGCTCTCCAGCCCTCTGCTTGGATGAAGCCACGGCAAGGATCTGATAGCGAGGTCCAGGCTCACACGTGTGGGGGAGGGGCTCTTCCTGCAGGGCTTCAAAGGGAACCGCACCCCCCCACCCCACCCCCGCGGGGTGCAGAGCAAACAGCCCAGCAGGGAAGGGGGAGGGGCAGCAGCTGAACAAACAGTACCTCCCTCCCCCCTGCAGCCTGAGCCAGACACCTGGGTGACCTCTGATCTCTGGCTGGCTGCAGACGGGACCCTTGTGCCTCAGCCGTGGACAAGCAGGCTGGGCTGTGTGTGTGCATGCACGCACGTGTGCACTCACCCCCTGGCACACACCCTGAGGAGTGTATTCGCCACACTGGGTCTCCTGAGACACCGCCCTGTCCAACCCTTGGGCAGGTGAAGAGGATGTCAGGGCAGGGAACCAAATCCACCCACTCCCTGCTCTGCATAGCTTGGGAACTGAGATTGGTTTCTACATTGTAAATAGTTGAAAAAAAAGAGAGTATTTCATGAGCCATGAAAATGACACTGATTTCAATAAGAATTTCAAATTTCAGTGTCCACAAGTAGTTTTATCAGCACCCAGCCGCACACGTTCATTTGCATGTTGTCTGTGGCTGTTTTCACAAAGACAGCACAGGATAGAGAGACCTAAAAGATTTACCATCTGCCGGGGCAGGAAAGTCTGCCAGCTCTTGTATTAGGGCGCCAGCAAAATGAGGCCAGGCCACTACCTCCCCTCAAACTAAAGTCTAGCTCCACAAGCCCATGGGGGACTGCAGAGTGAGCAAATCTAGATGGAAACGTGGTTGATTTCAATGCATATGAGTAAGTTTTGGGCTTTACAGTTTTATGTTGCCCTGCGTGTGCGTCAAACAAACTCTTCAAGGTTTAAGATTTTTCTCTCTTTTTTTTCTTGGTATGGGGGATAGAACTCAGGACCTTGCGCTTGTGAGGCAGCGGGGCCACTGAGCTAAATACCCAGGCTCTCTCTCTCTCTCTCTCTCTCTCTCTCTCTCTCTCTCTCTCTCTCTGTCCCTCTCTCTCTCTCCCTTTTGAGACAGATTTCACCCTGTAGCCCAGGCTGGCCTTGAATACCCAGTGATCCTTCTGCCTCAGCTTCCCAAGTGCTGGGATTACAGATGTGCGCCTCTTTGCTGGGTTTGATTTAGGATCTCTTTCTTGCAGCCACAGTGCGCGCACACACTGGGTACACAGTAGGGGATTTGTTGCTGTTTGGGGATAAAATAGGCCTGATTCTCTCTAGCAATCCAGCTACCTTGCTAGGGATGCGATGTTCATGCCCATTTCACCGACATGGAAACTGAGACACCTGGCCAGGGTCACACAGCTGCCCAGGGGAGCAGGCAGCCTGCTGCAGCCCCTGGTTGGGAGCCGCTCACCCTCCCCTAGAGATTCTCGGGCTTGCTGCCCCACCTCGGGGTTTCCAGGCCTCCCCCTGGATGGGGGCCCTGGCAGGTGTCCAGGAGCCTGCAGAGGGATGAGTGGCTTTTTCCCTTTTCCAGCTCACAGGGGCAGGCGTGGAGTGCACAGCTGCCAGAAGGGCAGGGAGGCAATGGGGCTGGGCTTCTGGGGACCCCGGGTCCTGGAGGATCTCTGCAGGCTGAGCGAGCTCTGAACCTGTGAATGTCAAGCCAGGCCCCTGCCCTCTGGCTCCTAGGCAAAAGGAGACTGGGACAGGGGAGGCCCAGCACTCCCAGTCCCCATCAGCATTTCAGAGCTCCTCTGGAATAATGGCCACAAGGACTAGAGGTGATGCTTTTTTCCTTTGGACAGAACAGCTCCTTGCTCCGACCCTCCTTGCAGCATTTCCCCTCCCTCACTGTGCTCCAGACACAGTACACTTGAACATACTCAGCTACTTCCCACCCCAGGACCTTTGCATTGGCTGTTTCTTTACCTGGAACATGGGCTTCCCTTGCTTATTCTTCAGATCTCTGTTCAAACATCAGTTCTGCTGATTTATCTCACACCCTCAAGCCCATGGACTAATTCCCCATGAGATCATGTGTTTGCTTGTTCTCCAACTACACGGGGACCTTCGTGGTTGGTTTCCAAACTCTACTGAGACCCTGACTTGCTGCCTGCCGGGCCACAGTACTTAGTGCAGAGTCTGACATGCAGCAGGAGGTAAGTAAATGCCTGGATGATGGAATGCATAAAGGCCGGGCCTGACCAGTGGCTGAGGCCAACACCTGGAGTTATGGAAGTAAAGATGCACTGAGATGCCAGGTCAACAAGCACCGGCCACGAGTTCGCCTGTGTGTTCAGCCTTGCCGGGCACTCTGCAGGTGCCACACCATGCTCTAGTGTGGCAGTGTCCAGCAGAACTTTCTGCAGTGATGGCCATTTCTGGGTCTACACCGTCCTGTCCTACCCGTGGCTCCTGGGTACCTGGAGAGTGGCTAGTGCAACCCCAGAACTAAACTTCATGCTCTCCATAATGTTAACTAACATGGATTTCAACAGCTGCTCGTGGTTAGTGCCTCTCACACAGGGGAGTTCTGCCACTCAGGGATTCAGGGAAACTTCCCCCAGGCCTCATCAGCCGCTCCTTGGGGGCCAACATGGCCAGGACTCTTGGGCCACTTCCACGAGGCTGGGCCACAGCGCTGCCCACCCAGCCAGTCGCTGAGACCACAGGGCTGCTAGCAACTCAGGGAGCGCTCCGCCATGGCAATGAGACCCAGGACAAGACAGTGAGGGCACTGATGCCACCCCTGTCACCATCACAACACCATCAGCATGACCGTCACCCCCACGACCGCCTGAGATGGTCACCAACGCCATCACTAAGCAGAGCACACGGCCACCAACCCTGCGCTTCCATCATCACGCACATCACACCACTCCCAGGGCCACCACCATGGCCGTCCACCATCAGTACCCCCAAACACTGCCACCAGCATCCCCCAAGGTCACCATGACACTGCACCAGCACCACCACTGAGACACCAGGGCCACCACCGTGAACCCCCATGATGAACCACCTCTTCTCTCCACCCAACTCCCCGACACCTGCAGCCAAGACACCTGGCCAGGCAAGGGCTGTGGCTCTGCAGTTCAGCTGCCTGGGCTTCAACCCCGGCTCTGAGTTGAAGTCGCTCAGCCTCCAGGAGACTCAGTTTCTCCATCTGTCAAATGGGGGTAATATTACTAGTACGATGAGACATACTGCCTGGGAATGCTGGAAAAGAGGAAGAAGGAGCACGGGCAGCCTGCTTTCTTCAATAACCCAGTGCCAAGGCTCCTCCGTCTCTGTGCTCGGCCAGCCCATTCGCGTTAATCCTCACGCAGCTGGGAGAGAAACTGATCTTGATACTGACTGACACCGATCCATTTTGCAGATGAGGAAACTGAGTCTCAGAGAGGCACGGCAAAGGCACCCTGTGCAAAGGCCCACAGCTAATGTCAGGGGCTGCACCGGAACCCACACCAATCTGTCCCCTTTCCAGGGTGGGGGAGGGAGGCCGGTTAGCAGATTTGGCCTCTGCAGTGCCCACTGGCTCCCTCCCTCCTCAGGGACCCCGGGGAGGAGTCTCCTCACCTGTGTCCTGGCGGAACTGGTGCATGGACTGTAGGTCGATGACGTAGGGCACCAGGTGGGCGTCCACCTGGCCCAGGACCACAGAGCCCCGGGCGTCCTCCTTGAGCACGTTCTCGATGTGGTGACACACAGTGGCCGTGTAGGGCCGCCAGCGGCTGTGCTCATTCAGCCACTCCCACACCACGACCCGGGCCACGTTCTGCGGCGGGAAGCCCAGCCCGGCCACCGGCACCATCACGCCCTGGCCCGGCCTTGACATGGCCGGGGCGGTCTCCGGGGCCAGGTCCCCACACGGGCTGGCCCAGGTCCTCCCGGGCCTGGAGACGGCAGGGAACTTCCTCTCTCCCCAGGAGGAGGCTGGGGGCCTCCCTGCCGGCGAGGGCTCCTCTCCGAGGCCTAGAGGCCTGGGCGCAGGGCACGGGGGTGGTAACGGGGCTCCCAGGACCCCTTCCGGCAGAGCTGTCTGGAGAAGGGCGCTGCCGGAGCAGGGTCTCCCTTAGGACGGGAAAACGGCTCTGGATTCCCGGGTCCCTGGGCTCAGGTGAGGCCAATGCCTGTGTTCTGGGTCCGGCCTCCTCCCTGCTGGCCTCTGGTCCTCTGTCGCCGCCTCGCAGCGTCTGTCACCCGGGAGGCCCGAGCCCAGCCCTGCCCTCTGCGGGCTCAGCGGCCCCTGCGCTCCCAGCCTCGGGCCCGCCCCTCCCGACGGCTCCGCTCCAGGCGCGGCCTGGGTCCTCGTGCCCTCTCCACGGCGTCCTGGGAGGCCCGGGTGGTGGCAGAACGAGCGAGAAAGCTGTGCGGCGCTCGGGGACTGCGGGGCCGGGGACCACGGGGCCGAGGGGGGCGGGGGCCCGCGGGCACGCCCCACCCCACTCGTGCTCGCGACCTGCGGGAGACAGAAGGGGAGAGGGCCCTTTAAGAGGTGAGCGCCGCACCCCCCCTTCCCAGGAGAACCTCGGTTCTGTGCAGAACAATGGGGACCGATGGGGGGCGGCAAGGGGGCCTGGGGGACCCTGCCCGCTTTCCCTGGGGGGATCCGGGGCTGGGGGCTTGGGGTGCCGAGCTTCTGCCCGAGGCGCCCCCTCCCCTGTCCCGACTTCCGCCCCCCGGGGCCCGCGCCCTGCGGAGATGCGAGATTCAGGGCGCTCGGGGATGCGGGGCGCGCGGGGTGCGGGCGCGGCCCAGCGCCTTCGGGGGCCGCGTCGCTGAGAGGCAAAGCTGGACAGCGCTGGGTTCCGCCTGGGGGTGGCGGCGCCCCCAGCCCACCCGCGGGAGCGCGCGCACCGGTTCTGGGGTGGGGTCCCCCGCGCCCCGCCGAGCCTCACCGCCTCTCCCGCGCCGGCTCCTCTCCTCCTCTCCGCCTGCGATCCCGCGCGCCGCCGCCTGGCTCCGGGCGGGGGGAGCCGTGGTCCCGCCTCCGCGCCCCGCTGTCCCCGCTGCGCCCGCGTCTCAGCCCCGCCACCGACGGGAGGACGCACGCAGGGCCTCGGGCGCCGGGATCCCGCGGGTGGGAAGGGGGAGGGGGAGGGGGAGGGAGCGGAGCGGGAGGAGGAGGAAGGGGAGGAGACAGATGCGCTCTGACGGGCTAGTCTTGGGCGCCCCAATGCTCGGCTGGGCCCCCCCGGGACACCACGAAGCCCCCCTGCCCCAGGCACTGCGCCGAGGCGGGCGAGTGTTTAGGGGTCACCTGCTTGAATCTTTGCCATCTTTGCATTCCAGTCGCCTAGTCCAGGGCCTGGCACACTGTAGGTGCTCAATAAATGCTTAGATGAATTAATGTGGTCTCGAGACAGCCCTGAGAAGGCTCTGGGGGAGCCCCGTGTCTCCTCCTTGTGGGAAGGGCCTGGGAAGGCCCATTTCGAGCCAAAGGGAACCACAGCATCCGAAGTGCCAGATGGAAAGACTGAGGCCCAGAGGCAAGACGCAGAGCCGGGTCCCCCAGCACCAGGCGAGGGCCCGCACGGAGCCCACTCCCCCTGCGCCCCTGCTCCGGGTGAGAGGGGCCGCAGACCCGTCCTCAGCACCCGGGAGCGGAGCTTGGAGCAGGATCCTCTGCCACCGCGGTGGCAGTTGCCTGTAGGGTAGGGTGGGCGGTGGGTTGGGTGGAAGGGGGCTGGTGCAGGCGGCAGCTCGAGGTCAGTGGGACAGTCTCCGGCGGGCGGGGATGCGGGGTCCAGAGGGGTCAGCAGCTGTCGGGGAGCCCGCCCGGGGCGGCCCCGCCCCCGCCCCCCATGGAGACGGAGATCGGCCAGGCGAGGTCAGGGGCAGGCGGAGGACTTTCCCAGAGCCTGCGGCCAGCTGGAGTGTCCGCCCACCCAGCCTCCGTCCTCAGCCCGTGGGCTTTCCGCAGCTGCTCGCTCGGCGGCCGCGTCTGCAGGGCCCGCGCTCCCATTGGAGTTAAGCTAGGGTCCACCGATAGGTTTCGGGGGTGCACGGAGACCTCCTCCCCGCTACGTGCGAACTTATGTGTCCGCTGGACAGAAGGGCTCTCGGCCCTCAGCAGCCTCCTGTCAAAGAAGACGGTGGCGCTGAGTGGCTTAGAGGGATGCCCAGAAACCTTAAGTTAGGGAAGGTGCTCGAGGGGGCGGGGTGGGGCGGGAAGAGATGGGCACAAGGTCACCTGGGGATTTGGCAGCCATCTGGAAATGGACTCCCAAGTCTCTGGACTTCCTGCCTCATGCTACATAAGGTCTCACAAGTGTCACCTCCTCCAGGAAGCCTTCTGGGAGCCATCCCACCCCCCACCCCCCACCCCCCGGTCCTTTGTCCAGGCCTGGGTAAGACATCCTGAGGTGAAGTCTGTGACATCAGGCACTGTGCTGCAGTCGTCTGTGTGGCTGGTATTCATTACATAACGGCGTCGTTTCCTGAGTGTCTATTATGTGCCAGGCACTTATGTAATGCTCAGTACTCTCCACAACCACCCCATGAGGTAGGTCGCACTGCCCTCATTTCACACACAGCAAACACAAGACAAACTTCTCCTCCTGGAGTTCGGACAGCTTGAGTGGCTCACTCAAGTCCCCAAGGTGAGGAAGTGGTGGCCACCCCATTGCACCTCCCATGGCACCATGCTGCCTGTGTTCATTGACTGACTAACGAATGGCATTTGCTGAGGACCTAGCACATGTGGCACTTAATGGTCCCTCAGGTGGGTTGCAGAGCATCTAGGAGTACAAAGTCCTGCTACCCGGACATCCAAGGAGAAAGGAATTCAAAGGAGGGAGAAGGCATGTGGCCACAGAGGCATCTACAAGAGAGGTTGGGGCCCCTGTGAAGGCCCCTCAGGGAGCCCCCATCGGCCTTGGGAGCGAGTCAGGGAGCAAGTCTGGGAGCATGTGGGGCCTTGTGAGCCCTGGGGTGGTCTTGGGTTTCATCCCAAGTCATGGGGTCACGGGTGGATCTCACGTGCTTGGATTCCTGCTTGGAAGGGCCTTACAGAACCAGACTTCATTGAGCACCTACTGTATCCCCAGCCCTGGTCCAGGTGGGCAGGGCCCAGACTGGAACCAGCTGCAGAGCCAGTTGGGGAAGCCAGAAGACACTCTCAGGGCTGACCCCCCCTTGGTGCCTGTGACCCAGGCCTCCCTCTCCGCTCCGCTCCGCTCCGGAGCCCACTGTGTTCTGGTTTCAGCCCAGCTGTGACCTTTCCCTTTGCAGCTGAAAGTAAGTTTAAGTGGAAAACAGGAAGCAGCGCATTTGGGTGTCTTTGGGGACAGAACACTAGGGACTTCCTGGGGTCCAGGTGTCAGCGTGTTTTGGTCTTGCCCTGCATTCAAGGGGTGGAAAGTGCAGGAGGACAGAACCAGCTGGTCTCTATTTTGAGCTTTTAGAGCCTGTTTTGAGCCACCAACTTCTTCATCTAGAGAGAAAATATTTATTGAGCACCTACTACATGCCAAACACTGTTCAAGCCCTGGGGGTGCACCAGTGAACAGAGACACACCCCCCCGCCCAACATGTATGTATGCATTATATATACATGCATGTTGCATTGTAAACTCTAAGTGCAGTGAGAAGCAGCAAATCCCAGGCCTGAGGGCGAGTGAGTCAGTACAGCCACTGGGCCAAACAGCCAGCCTTTCCTCTGATCATTAAGCGCTCACGTACCCTGTGATCAGGCAGTTCTGTCCTGATGGGTGAACCCTGGAGAAACTATCACCCATTCACAGAATGTCTTTGGGAGGCTGAGGCAGGAGGATCACAAGTTGGAGTCCAGCCTGGGCAACTTAGTGACTTAGGGAGGTCCTGTCTCAAACTAACTGAAAAATTTAAAATGAACTGGGGGTGTAGCTCAGTGCAAAGGTCCAGGGTTCAACCTTACCACAAAGGAAAAAAAATAAAAAGAATATCCAGAGCAGCTCTGTTTATAGTGGATGAAATTGGGAAACAGTGCAAATGAATAAACTATGATTTAATTCCCATGCTGAAATGTTGCACCACATTCCATATGCAGGAATTAAAGCCACCCACCACGACATGGCTGGAACCAAGGATTAGGATCGACTCACTCTTTTGTGAACCAAGATTAAAGAAAAAATGGAGTAAGCAGGGTGGGAGGTGGCTGGAGAGGCTAACAGCAGGCTGAGGGGTGGTGGTCAGGGGAAGTGCTACTGAGGTGACATTTGAGCCCAGACTTGAAGGAGGGAAGTAGAGAGCCACGGGGTAGATGGGAGAAAGTGTGCCAGATGGTGGGCCTAGCCAGTGCAAAGGTCCTGAGGTCAGCAGGAGAGTTCTTGGCATCTCTAGGCTTGGCAGAGAGGTCAGTGGGTGGGGGATGGAGGGAGCACAGACATGTGCCTGGAGCTGATCAGGAAGGGGGACAGAATGAAGCAGGCTTAGGGAGGGAGAGAGATGTGGGGGGAGAGAGGGAGGACAGTCCTGGTTCCCCAAGGGTCCAAATCCTGAGTTTGCTCTTCTCAGCCACCGGCTGTTCCACTTTCCCTGAGGTCCACAAGACCTCAGTGTCCTTGGCTCAATTTAAGTGGGTTCTCTCACCTGCACCCTGCGGCATTCTGCCTGGCTGGCTGCACACTCTGCGGCCCATGGTTGTGTTGTGGGGCCCTTCTGCGGTTGCTTAAGAGGCTGTGCACTGGGAAGGGGTGCCAGTGACCAAGAAGCCACTGGGAGGGGGGTGGAAGAGTAACCAGCCCCTTCACCCCCGTGCTTTCTAGGTACCAATGCCCCCCCCCCCCCAGCACTGGGGATTGGCCCCACGGCCTTCACCCTGAGCCACATCCCCAGGCCTTTTTGTATTGTTTATTTTGAGACAGTCTCACTAAGTTGCTCAGGCTGGGCTCTAATTTGCGATCCTCCTGCCTCAGCCTCCCAGATTGCTGGGATTACAGGTGTGGGCCACCATGCCCGACTGGTACCAGGGATTTTACAAAGCTCTCGCAATCTTTCAACAGCCCCACAGGCATTGGGCCAGATCTCACAGGTGAGGAGCCTGAGGCCCAGGGAGGTTGTGACGCACACCACACAGTGAGTGCTGAGTCTGAAAACCCCAGGCCTGGCTCACTCTGAAGCTGTGCACCTAGTGACCCAGGTCACCCATTTCCAGGGAGCTACCCCTGAGTCTTCCCGGACCTCGGGTTTCCCCCGTCTGTGCTGTGGGGTGGGTGTGTCTTGCTGCTTCTCTCTTCTTCCCCAGCCTGAGGCAGCTAGAGGAAGCGAGGCACCCCAAACTGGATGCCTGTGTCTCCATCACACGGGGAAGGGACCCCAAGAAAGAACAGGGCCGAGTTGCTCACAGACCTTGTCCATCTGCAGAAGGGGTGAGGGCAAGGAGGAGAGGAGCTCCATTTCCCCCTGGACCCCGACTTTTGCGGCTGTAGAAATTGCAGCACGGGGTGCGCTGTGAACAAAACATGGGCGTGTGTGCATAGCGCCCCCTGGTGGCCGAGTTTGGTCCCTTGCCACCTTGGAGGGCTTTTCAGATTATTTTTGTATAAGGATTTTTAAAAATTGACAGAAGCGGGTAAGTTTTCCCATGTTGATCACTTCTGAATAGTGTTCAATAGTGTTAAGCGCAGTCACACTGTTGCAAAGCTGGTCTCTGGAACTTTTCCATCTTGCAACACTGAAACAATTGCTCCTCAGTCCCCTTCCCCAGCCCTGGAAACCGCCATCCTATTTTCTGTCTCTGAATTTGGCTACTCTGGTACCTCATGAAGGACCATGCAGTATTTGTCATTTTGCGACTAGCTTATTTCACTTAGCATAAGGTTCTCGTTGAACCCAGGGCCTCACCTATGCTAGGCAAGGGCTCTACTGCTGAGCTACATCCTGGCCCTTTCTATTTTCATTTTATTTTGAGACAGGGTCTCACTAAATTGCCCAGATTGGGCTCGGATTTATGGATTTATGATGCTGCTGCCTCAGTGTCAAGTAGCTGGGATTGACAGACATGTGCCACCACACCTGGCAGAATTCCTACTTACTTATTTAGCACTGAGAATGGAACACAGGGCCTTCACACTGAGCTACATCCCTAGCCCTGTTTTTTAAAATTTTATTTTGAGACAGGGTCTTGCTAAGATGCTAAGTTGCCCAAGTTGAGCTTGAGTTTGTGGTCCTCCTGCCTCAGCCTCCTGAGTAGTTGGGATTGCAGGCATGAGCCACAAACCTGGCTCTTCAAGCGGAGAATCTTAAGGAAATCCCATTAGGTCTTGGCAGTGACGAGGACAGCTAGTGATGACCGAGCATCGTCGCTGGGCTCCACACAAACCTCAACCGAGTTCATCTTTGAACCATCCTGTGGGCTGGGTGATGCTGTTGTCCTCATTTACGCAGGTGGAAACCAAGACACAGAAATCACAGCAGTTGTTCAAGGCCCCAGAGCAGTGGAAAGCTACAGCCCGGCTTTGACCTGGGTCCTCGTCCGCCTTTGCGTAGGCCCACATTGGTCCGGCAAAGCCCGCCCCAAACATAAAGTCAAAAAAGGGAGAGAAGCTTTACTTCCACAAGAGCTCCCTCTCCGCTGCCCTCTTGCTACCTGCTGGGGGCTTGGTCCCCAGGTCCCTGTGCCAAGGAGGCCTCTCTTGGGTGTGCGGAGAGCCTGCTCCTGCCTGGTTTAACTCTGAGTCCTCCTCTCCCATGGATGCCCCGACATGTGCAATGCAAAACCAGGCTTGAGTGCCCCCTCCCTTCACCTTCCCTCTTTCCTCCTTCCTTCCTTTTGTTTTTGAGACAGAGTCTCCTAGGCTGGCTTCAAACTCACAGCAAGCCTCCTGCCTCAGCCTCCCAAGTGCTGGGATTACAGGTGTGTAACATCTCCCCCGGCTTCCTTTGCTTCTTGTTTATGTTTTTATTTTAAATTAATTTTGGGCTTCTAGAGAAGTCGCAAAGGGTACAATGAATTCTTGTTTACCCTTCACTCAGGCTTTTCAAATGTTAACCCTTTAACATGCCTGTATTCTTTTCTGCTCTCTCTCCACATACTACCTGCATATGTATGTATATATTTTTCTGAACCATTTGAGACCAAATTGCACAAGGATATCCACTTGCCCCTAAATACTTCCGTGTGTTCCCTAACACGAGGGCATTTGTTTACTCAACCACATCAATCAGGAAATCGATACCAGGCAATTATCTAATCTACAGTCCTTCTTCAGAGTTTGCCAGGTCTTCCAATAATATCCTCCACGGAGAGCAAAGTAAATAAAGAAAACTCCAGCGTCGCATGTGGCATGTAGGCTGTCCTCGGCCATCCATGTCAGCCCAGCCCCATGGGCAGGTGCATGTGTGAGCCCAGCCAGGTGGGCAGAGGTGCCAGCTGGCCTGTGGGCTCATGGGAAATCATGCAGGGAGCTTCCACATAGCACCCGCAGGGCAATGGAGCTGACAAAGCAGGTGTCACTTCCTTCCTTCCTTCCTTCCTTCCTCTCTAGTAATTAACTCACACGACTGGGCCAGCCCGACCAAGTCTAAGTTGACCCAGGGAAGACCCACAGCCTGAGTCTGAAGGCCATCTGGAGGTGGAATGCCTTCTTCCTCCAAGGACCTCAGTCTTTCTCTCTTAAAGCCTTCGACTGATCAGACAAGGCCTATCTATGTCACGGAGGGCAATGTTGGATGTAAGTCTGTTGATTCACATCTAAAAATACCTTCACAGCAACATCTCCCCTGGTGTTTAATCAAACATCTGGGCACTGTTGCTTAGCCACATCGATACCTAACACTAACCCAGCCATCAAGTCTCTTCTTCTCCACCTTTGACGTGTTGATATTTCAGTTTCTGCCATTGTCCCCTCAAGGTCACAACATGGCTGCTGACGCTCCAGAAATCGAGATCTCAGACAACAATGTGCAGAGCAGGAAGAGAGAATGATCGAAAGATCTTTTCCTGGCCCACCTCTCTCTTAGTAGGAAGATAGTCTTCCCAGAATCTCCCAGCAGACTTTGCTTTATGTTTAATTGTCCAAAACTGGGTCACATGGTCACCTGGGGGCCACTCATTTGCTGGGACTACAGAATGCCGGGATTGAAGTAGACAAATTAAGACTCATCCTTTGAGACTGGGTAGACCTGGGGAAGAAGAGACTGCTGGCACATGCTGGCACTGGTGACATACTCGGGGTGGGGGGAGCAGACATGAGGATCCGCCAAAAGGTGAGCGTATGGGGCCGGCTCAATCCCCTCAGCAGGCCTGACCTTGTGGCTGGCTGCCCTGTGCCCCGGTGGTGACCAGGCCATCTTCGGGGCTTCAGTGGGCTAAGAGGGTGGTGAGACTTAGCTGCAGGTGGCAGTGGTGGTGAAGCTGCAGCCCTCAGTGTGACAAACGGTTCTCACCCGTGGCCTCCAGCATTAAGCCGAGTCTGCAGGGGACCTGGGAGGCCTCGGGAGATTCCCCAGCATGGAGGGCCCAGCAAGAGCAGGAGCTGCCCTGGACCCCAAGCTAGCACCTGGGGGAGGTCAAGGACCCTCGAGAGGACTCAGAAGCAGACCCTTCCCAGCCAGCACCTCTATTCTCTGGCCTGCGTCTCCCCGCGGGCAGGGGAGGCGGTGACCCCTCCTCATCTTACAGATGGGGCAGCTCTCTTATCTCTCCTTGCTGCTGGACCAGATGGCCTCAACTTTCACAGCACAGGTCTATTCTCTCAACACTCCCAGAAGTCGGAAGTCCTCCGTTTAAGCACTGACAGGGCTGTGCTCCTTCCTTCGGGAGGCTCTGAGGGAAAGCCTGGCTCTCCCACACCTCCACCATCTCAAAGCCATCGGCACAGTGTCTCCCAGACTCTGCTTCTGCTGTCACATCCCTCCCTTCCCTCTGAGCTCTGCTTCCCCGTGCTGCTCCCCACTTTTATGGGGGGCTGCAGCCCCTGCTGACCCTGTGTGTGCCTCTCACTTCTCCATAACTGCAATCCAGGGGGGAGGCTGCGCTTGTCATGGTTAGGAAAGGGGGTGCCTGTATGGGCCCTGGGTTGAAATCCTGGCTTCACCCCTTCATTGCTGTGTGACCTTGGACAAGAGTCGTTGCTTCTCTGTGCGTGTTTTCTCATCGGTAAAATAAGAAGGCTGCTACAAGGTGCATGGGGTCTGAGGGCTGAATGATTTCACAAAAGCTGAGTTCTTACAATGTCTGGTTCCTGAGAACCTTGGTAAATGTTAGCTGGATTCGCAAAGAATTCCACCCCTACTGCCATAAGATTGGTGCACTCTGGTCTAGCCTTGGACTGACTGTGCTGGGTACTCAATGCCAGCTGCCTTCACAGACAGTTCAGAGGGACAAAGGGGTTCTCTCAGGAGCAGATGACCCCTGGCATCTCAGGGCCGAACATGATAAAGCTGACTTCCCATCGCTGGTGGGTGGGCAGCATGCCTGCACGGAGAGCTGGGGCCTCCAGGGTCACTGTGTGTGCTCGCGTGTGGGGGGGGGGCGGGGAGGGAGTGGAACTGCTCTGCCCCTCTGCCCACCAGCTCCTAAGGGCCTCCAGCAGGAGGTGACACACAGCTTTGTGCAAGCCTGGGCTTGTCTTGGGCTGGCGGTGGCTGGTGTGGTGTGGTGACCACCTGAGGCGTGGGCACCAGGACCGCCGGAGGGACAGAGGAGGCAGCTGGTGCAGCCCAGGAAACAGGGAGGCTTCAGGGAAGAGGTGACCGCTGACCCAAGGCTTGGACAAGAACTTGCATTGCCTGTCCTGGAATGGTCCCAGGTAAAGCCCACAGGAGACAGGGTGGGGCAGCAAACAGTGGAGAGGGTGTTACAACAGGATCATCACAGAAAGGGTGAGGTCTCATGTTAGATCCCACTCCCTGGAGCTGCCCAAAGGATGCCGATTTTGCTCATGGCTACTTTAGGGTCAGGATAGTGACTAGACTGGAATTGGCTTTCAACAATGCCCAGAGGCTGAATTAATGGGAGGGACAGGGTGACTCAGGGACCTGCAGCTGAGGGTCTCCAGGAAGTCATCCAGGCTTCGGGTAGGGATAGTCTGGATGTCTGTGTTCCCCAAATTCGTATTTGGAAGCCTTGATCCCCAGGTGATGGGCTGGGCTGGAGCCTGTGGGAGGTGACTGGGTCATGAGGGTGAAGCACTCATGCGCGGATTAGAGCCCTCACAAAGGGGGCCCCAGAGAGAAGTCAGCTGCCTGCAACCCGGAAGCGGAAGTGGAGGTTGTGTGTAACCCGGAAGCAGAAACAGGTCCTCCCTGGGACCTGTTCTTGCAGCCTCCTGCACAGTGAGTGGTAAACTTCTGTCATGTAGGACCGCCCCCCCCCCCCCCCCCCCGCCCATCTACTGGGCTCTGTTACAGTAGCCCTAACTGTGAACCCGGGTGAGAGTGCTGTGTTTTTCTGAAGCGCCTGACTGAGATGGAGAGCTGCAGCCAAGTTCTGGGCTCAGCTGGGGATGCTTTGGAGGTATCTCCTCACCCAGCGGAGAGCCCTTTGGTCATCTCCTCCCCTCTCTCCTCCTTCTCCTCCTCTTCTTTTTCCTAGTACTGGGGATTGAAGCTACTGCCTTTGCACAGAGCTACATCCCCAGCTCTTTTTATTTTCTATTTTTGAGACAGAGTTTCACTAAGTTGCCCACATTGGACTTGAACTTGCAGTCCTCCTGCCTCAGCCTCCCAGAGGGCTGGAATGACAGATGCATGCCTCCACACCTACTTGAATCCTTTTGCTTTCTGTTACCCATGGTGGTGGCAGCCTTTTCTCTCTGCAAGCTGGCATCTGCATGGTTACCAGCTCTGGCTAGATGCCTGCCCAAACCAGCTTTCCAGGAGGCCCCAGGATCTACAGGCTTAGGGTGTGGAGGCAGAGAGGCCCAGAGTGGAATTCTGCCAGGCCGCTTTGGGCATTCGCCTTGCCTGGGCCTCAGTTTCCTTACTGGTCAACTGGGAATAAAGGTACCCCGCAGGAGGGCAGGTCTACGGAGCTGGTTCTGGGCATAGGGGAAGGGACTGTTGGTGCATGCTGGCGGCTCATCCCCGCTCCCCCCGCCTCTCTTGGCTCAGTGTTGGGCTGCAGAGAGGCAACCCAGAGCCTCTTACCAAGGAGTCCCCGGATGTGAGCGCAGAAATGCTTCCGGGTCAAGGCCTGGGCAGTGACCTTGGGGAACAGAGCTGCACAGAGCCTCAGTTTCCCCTGGGTCAGGTGGAGATGAAAATTTCTATTTTATAAGCAAGAAATGAGATGTTGAATGAAAAGCTCAGGGCCGGGCACACAGAACCCAGTCACAGCCAACAGCTCCTGTTCCCTCCTCCTCCTGGAGCGAGCTCAGACCAGCGCTGTACTTGGCCTTGGGAGTGGGGTGAGGCGTCTGGAGCCCAGCAGGATTTCTCAAGGGCACTGGAGAAGAGCCATGAGCTAGTGTTGACCTTAACCCCGGGCTTGCTCAGTTTGGCCGGGTGCAGACTCAGGCTGGGGACAGGGTGGAGCGTGGACAGAGGTGAGGTGGGAAAGAGGGGTGCAGAGCTGGGAGGAGACAGCTGATTCCCATGGGCACCCCCCGCAGGAGTTGTAGGGAGGGAGGATGCTGGGCCCCCGGCTCAGGTGGGGCATGTTCCACAGGTAACTGGAAGCCAGGAGGTGACCGTGCCAGCTGGATGCCAGGTGCTCACTTCACCTTAGAGGAGCTGGCCAGGACCTGTGCACTACCGAGCCCTGTGTGGGCTTGCAGGTCTCAGGCTTGGCCCCTCTTCCTTGCTAACTATCTGTCTGGGGAGAGAGACAATGTTTACGGCACCTCAGAGAGACTAGCCTGGTGTAGCACAGTTAGAAACAAAGGAGCTGAGCTACTGCCCTCCCTTCCTTCCAGATAGGGAAGCTGTGTGAGCCACTTCGCTTCTCCCCATTCAACCATAAAGCCAACACCACCCTAATGATTACCCAGGCTTAAGCCTGGAAGGTGGAGCAGGACACCAGTGAGAGAAACAGGGGAGGCGCTTGGGTCAGCGCCCTGGGTCTGACCTATGAATTCTGGATGCCTGAGTTACCCAGGCCCTTCTTCCCCTTTGCACTTGAGTCCTTTTCTCCTTTCATCTTTGAGTCCCTTTTTCCTTTTGCCCGCTTTTTCCTCACCCCTCTTCCTGTTCCTGCTGCCCTCCCTGATCTTCATTCAGCATAGCTACGTACTGCACACTAGGAGGTGGGCTGCGAGATTCTTTCCTTGTTCCCCACAAGAACCTGGACTATTCTTGGCTCACTCAGCTGGAACACGTGGACAAGGCTGCCCCGCTTAGCAGGAAAACCCAGGCTCTCCCGAGTCCCATGGCAGATTCCCCTCCTGGCACCCAGCAGGGGCCACAGCAGCTACCTAGGAGGCTGGGCAGAGTTGAGTCCCAGCCTGCAGCGGAAGTGGCTTCCTCAGCAGCAGCAGCAGCAGCAGCAGCCCCATGGGGGCCACAGCCGGCTGCCTGCCTGTCTTCCTCCTGCCACCCTTCCGCCTGGAGCCAACCGTGCAACTCGAGTGAGTCTGCGTTTGAGCACCCTCCTCCGGAAGAGGTGCGTGTGTGGGCCCAGCCTGCGGGCTGCTGAGCAAGGGGTGCCATTTTCTTGGGGGAAGAGTGAAGAATTGGTAATTAGTTGGAACATAATGTAAAATATGTTCATTGGAACATAATGTAAAATATTGTAAATGTCATATAAAGTAAGCGTATGTTCAAGATCGCTTCACTCCCACTTACAACATTTCCTGTAGATTCTGTTAAGTGATATTTTTTTCCCAGACCATGATTTTTTTTTTTTCTCTAAAGCTGGGGATGAAAGGGCCTTCACACATGCTAAACAAGCGCTCTATCCCTGAGTTACATCTCTAGTCCTTTTTAAAAATTTTAATTTAAGACAGCGTCTTCCTAATTTGCCCAGGGTACCCTTGAACTTGAAATCCTCTTGCCTCAGCCTCCTGGGTTACTATGGCACCATACCCAACCTAGACCTCCATTCTTTTCATGGCTGAATTATATTCTACTGTGCACACATGCCATATTTTATTTGTCCATCCCCCTATCAGTAAGCGCTTAGGTGGTTTCCACCTTTTGGTTATTGTGAACAACACTTCTGTGAACATCTGTGTACAAGAATTTGAAGCTGGGTGTGGTGGCACACTCCTGTGATCCCAGCACTTAGGAGGCTGAGGCAGGAGGATCAAAGCAAGTTTGAGGCCAGCCTGGGTTACATAGTGAGTTCAAGGCCAGGCTGAGCTACATAGGGAGACCCTGTCTAAAAGACAAAAAACAAAAAACAAAATAGCAAGAACAATAACATAAAAGAATTTGTTTGAGCCTTTGTTTTCAATTTTTTTTGGTTTATACCTAAGTATGGAATTACCAGGTCATATAGAAATTGTACATCCATCTTATTGAGGAAATGGCCAAACTGTGTCCCCAGCGGCTGCTGCATTTCCAGATCCTACCAGCAACGCAGGTGTTCTAATTTAGCTGGGCGTGGTGAGGCACACCTGTAATCCCAGCTACTCGGGAGGCTGAAGCAGGAAGGTTACAATTTTGAGTCCAGCCTGGACGACCTAATGAGATCCTGTCTCAAAATATAAAGACCCAGAAAAGGCTGGGGGTGTAGCTCAGTGTGAAGCCTCTATTCCAGTGTCTCCGACACCTGTTATTCTCCATCTTTTTCCGTAGCCATCCTACGGCTCTGAAGCGCTGTCTCATTGTGGTCAGGATTTGCGATTCTCCGATGACTCATGGTGTGGAGCATCCTGTGCATGCTTATTGCTCATTTTTATATGTTTTTTTCTATTTATTTACAAACTGTGACTTTAATGTAGAGAAAAGGAAACAGAATAGGTTTACTGAAGTATAAATAATACTGCATATATTTTACTATGATGTGTATGTGTTTTATTCAGGATTCTTCTGAGAATCAGAACCAATAGAATATTCAGAGATATATAGGAAGGAATTTATTGAGTATTGCCTTTCATGGTGTGCAGCTTCGAGGCTTGTTTTTTTTCCATTAAGTTTATCGGTACATTTTAAGTATACAATACAGTTACATTCATTATTGGGATCTTGTACCTGTACATGACGTATCTTGGTTCTTATTTTTTCCCCATTCCCCTGCCCTCCCTTCACCCCCTCC